CCTCCACCCGTCTTTCTTTCTTTTTCTCTCCATCTGTTTATCTCTCTCTCTCTCTCTCTGTCTCTCGATTGTTTTCTTTCTTTATTCCCCCCCCCCATATCCGATCTTCCTTTCTCCTTGCTCTCTCCCCAACTGTATCGTCCCCTTGCTCTCGTTCTCTCTCTCTCTCTCTCTCTCTCTCTCTCACTCACTCTGTCACTCACTCTAGCTCTATTATGTTATATATAGAAATATATTACTATTTTATCGAATGACCCCCTCCCTCTCATTCTATCTCCCTCTCTCTCTCTCTCTCTCTCTCTCTCTCTCTTCCTCCCTCCCTCCCTCCCTCCCTCTCTGCTTCCCTCTCATTCTTCTTATAACCAAGTTTTAACAAAAACTCGATTCAAAAGAACCAAATTACACACTTTGCCAATCAAGAAATTGATTACTTATAAGATTCCATCGCATCGCATGACCTACTTATGACAGCATTTGACAGCGCTCTTATACAAGAAGAAAGAGAAAGGGTGAGCTGCGTTCCGTGACCAAAGCGGACAAAAATAACAGTCTCGATGTTTTCCTACCCTAGATACGCCATGTTCACTTTAATGAAAAATTAATTCATTTTTAGATGAGTCTGCTATACCCCCTATTGAATTTTCGTGAGTAGGGACTTTATTATTGCTCGTCATTAATCCATAATCTTATGATTAGTACGCATGCGCAGTACTCCCACAATAGGGATGTATACACTGTGACGGTGTTAGAATTAAGGAGGGGGTAGCATTGCATTTCAAGGTTGACACATAGTGTTAGGTTTAGCCTTGGGTTTGGGCTAGGGTAAGGTATGGTGTTAGGGTTAGGTCCTTACATACACGATCAAAACTTTCTCTAAAACCGGCTGCTTTATTTCCCTCTAGCTCCGTGTTAGAGAGAAATTGAGAAAGAACGGGAGAGGGGGCTTGAGAGAGGGGAGGTTTTAGAGAGAGATACAAGGAGAACTAAAGAGAAAAGAAAAGGAAGGAGGAAGAAAGAGAGAAGGGGAAAGAGCGAAGGAAAGGGGGAGAGGGGGAGGGGGAATGCAGAAGGATATGGAAAAGATAGGGAGGGGAGAGGGAGAGAGAAAGAGAGAGAGAGGAGGGAAAGGGATGAGAAAGAGGGGGAGGGAGAGAGAGAGAGAGAGAGAGAGAGAGAGAGAGAGAGAGAGAGAGAGACGGAGAGAGTGAGAAAGATATGTCTCTGATTGATACGATCTATGTTGCGTAGTGCAAAAATCACCACCAAAAAAAAGGATTTTAAAAGTAGGGGCGTTCCAAAATATGAACATGATCAATGGATTTAGGGATATGCAAGCCTTGCAAGGAGTCGGAAAGTTTGATTTGATTTGGTTTGATTTGATTTATTTATTTCTGTTTGATTTTCTTTTTATTTTGCATTTTTACAAATATGTAACAAACAAATATTGCAAATTTACACATGACAAAAGAATATATGTAGAATAAAGTAAGGCTGGGTATAACTAATCTAGAACATCAAACAGGAGGGTTGACAAAATAAGCAAAGCTTGATAGTATGACTACCCTCAAAGGATACATAATGATACAAATATGGAGGAACAAAATATTGGTAAAAGCGGGAAAAGACAGAAAAAAGAAGAGAAAAGAAAGAGGGGATGCACATCAATATTCACAGACTTATGTGGTAGTTGGATTTCAAATTGATATATAAAGTTTCAACAGCTTTTTCAGTTCCTCCTCTTTGACCCCTTTATCTGCACTTCTCCAGCCATCATCATTTTCATTCACGTATTCCATTCTTTTATTGTTTTCTTGTGGGTTTTTGAAGAGGAAGAATAAAGAGTCCACGTCACTGATCACGCTAATCATCATGGATCGTGACGCCTACAGAGACGGCGGGAAATAAGCCATATTATTCCATGGGATTCGTCACCGACGCAGTGGCATATCCAGACCTTCTTTCCACCAGGAGGGGCGCAACTGTGGTCCAATATCTTTCATTAGGAGAGTCACTTTTTAAGGGCCCTGGGGGTGTTAACAAAGATCTTAAGTTGAACTTAACTCTAAGTTGCACTTAACAATAATATTGTGGACAGTGTCTAGAAAATATTTTAGAAAAGTTATTAAAAAGGCATAAAATGTTGATTCAAATCATTCATATTTTCTATCATCAAGGAGATTTCATATTCTTAATAATAAAAGTCTTAAATACTTGAATTTTCGCTTTTAAGGCTACTAATGGCTCTCCGTAATGTTTAAGTCTAACTTAGAGTTAAGTTCGACTTAGGATCTTTGTGAAACACCCCCCAGGTTTGTGATGCAGATGGGAGTATCTTGAGAAGAAAGTAGAACCTCAAGACTACATTTTGTGCGTTCCATTAGGCTTATTGATTGCCAGTGATTCTCTAACCTTCTAATTTCTAATTAAAACGTGGCTGCATTTCCTTTTCCTTGGTCGGAAGTCTGTCAGAAGGGGCAACAAAATTTCCCTCTTGCCCCTCCTTCAGATGTACCCCGGAGTTGTCTTCGCCATCGCGTCATTACCAAAACCTCAAATTTCCAAGGAGCCGATTCTTTCCCGTCAAATGATCCGATTTAACCTAATGTTTATCTAGACTGAATGTAAGCATTCGTGTCTCATCTTCAAGCATTCGTTTGTGGCTCGATGAACTAGTTGCTGTAATTGAAGAGACAAAATAAACTCAGAAGAATTATTTCCAAGGCACATCAGAGTATTGATAGCTCTCCATATGCACTGAGCACATGCAATGCTGTTGGGCAAGAACCAAATTGTATTCAACAAACAAAAAATGTTCTTGAGATTTTATAATAATTTGGCGACAAAAAAAAAATGATTAAAAAGGGGAGGTTCTAAAACAATTTCAATTTTTGTGTGTCTTTTTTTGATTTTTTTTTTCCCCATTTTTTTTTTTTTTTAATAATTTTTTTTCTCCATAAAAATAAATAAATCATTGGGATGTCAAGCATTTAGACAAACAAAGTCTATTGAACACTTTAATATGGTAAAAGACTAGTTTACTGTACATCCGTAGTTAAAGCCCCTCTAAACTGTTGGGAGCCCCACAAATTTGATAGGAAAAAATTCACTTAAGTTGTAACATAATATAAAATAGGATGTCATTTAAAATACAAAATTCATGATTACTACGAGAACCTAAATGTTGTATTCTTTTATTAATATTCGACTTTAAACACATTATTTGGGGGGAAATCTTTCCAGAAGTGTATCTTAAATGACGTCCTCTTTCACATTATGATACAATTTAAATGAAATTTTGCTGTCAAATTCGTTGGCGAATTTGGGGCAAAGCAACGAGATATAATTATATTAAAAACCAAAATTATCAATCTAGAATCACTGATTGTAGACTATATTGGGTTTCGCAATAACGAGATCCTAGTGTAACAGAATTATGTGAGAGAGTGAAGCGACTGAGTTTTAGCAAAAGATTTTATTGTAAACCCACACAACATCTAACGTATTGGGAGCGCATAATTATAATTCCTATTATCTTAATAATCTTGTCTTTCCTTTCTCCCCTTTCCTTTCGTTTTTTTTTCTTCGTGTTTTGCACCTGTAGTTTTTTGCGGATTTTGTTCATCTCCTCTAAGGGCCGCCCGGGGCACGTACCACCTCTGCCCCCTGCAGTCACTGCCGCCACTGTCTTTCATGCTTTTGGCAGTTTATGATGGACAAAACCTACACAATCATAATGTGAGGTCATCGCGTGCATTCACTTCAACCTATAGGAAAAGCCCTCTCACACATTTACGCGCATTGACCTACGTAATAATGTATACTCATCACCAATGCGTTCGAGAAGAAACTTTTGACCAATCAGGAACGCGTTACTAAAATCCTACTCCAAAAATCATACGTAACAATGGAATGCGCAAGTTTTGTGTTTACATTAGTAACGCATTACCTACAAGAGATTCATTCTTTATGAATTCCCCTTGCATTAAAGACGTTTGCTCTGCTCCTGTCTTTATATCTCAAAGAAAAATGGCTCGCCGATCTTCTCGTAAGCGACGATTTTTCGCCCGACTTCGAAAGAGAATGGGAAAGAGTATGAGGAGACTGTGTTGTCTCTTGTCAGGTAGGAATATTTTCCTAAAGCTCCCCCAATGGTCATATACCTTATTAAACACATAAACACATTATTCACATTTTAACAGTGTCTTAATGTAAATCAGATTTATTGTTTCTGTAGTTACCAAACTCCAAAGCTTCGTCGAGCACGACCCAAAAATAGGGTGGTACTCTTTTGACCACCATTCACTGTTCAGCTTTGTTCTATCATTATTTTCTATAGCAACTTTGAAAATTACGATTTTATTTTTTGGGTGGTATTTATTTAATTACAGCCACCGAGGATGACAGTACAGCCAACCGAAGTAATGTTTTGACAGCAGAAGCCCTCAAAATGGTAAGAATTCTATTAAAACCCAATTCTTCAATATTCGTAAAAGTTTTATTCAACCAAGACAATCATAGTTGGAATTAAATCATTCTTTTGCTCTCACGCGCCTTTCGTTCTCCTGCTTTAATTAGATTTTCATTTTAATCTTCTCTCTCCGAATATACAATATTCTCTCTCCGTATTGGTTTGTCCGCCTCTCTGTATGCAATTTTAAAGCTATTACACAATATTCAGCTCTCATCTCGTATAATTCTTTTTCTTCGTTCAAACACAGTTCCACTCTACTACATGTAATATCAACGATACATTCAGTGACTCGACATCATTGTGGAGTTCGGAAGAGGGCTTCCCAAGCATCACGTATTACCCAATCATCGCTTCAAAGCAAAACGACAGCGATAACAACGACGTCGACGATGATAACGATGACGAAACAAGTATCGCATCTGACTGCTGTCAGCTCCATAATGAAGTCTTGATCGAGATTCATCATGAAGATGATAACGATTCATTGTTTTCTGACACTACTTCTAGTTTGATCAGATTCATGGACGAAATGGACAATGACAGTTTCACAGACGTGTCCAGCATTACAACCGACAATGAAGACGATAACGACACGTTTACGACAGTCACCGATTTGACATACTACACCCATGATCTTTTCAATGACGACAGCAGTGACGTCATACTTGATATCTCCCTCACCAAAGATGAATACGAACTTATCAATGGTAGAGACCAAACAATCGAAAGTGATTTTATCATTGCAACAACTTTTCTAGATGAAATCATTTCTGAGGTCGCCTTCAAACTGGATTCTAACAATTGAACCTCCGATATATTTTGTTTAAAAAATTACAAATACTCAATTATATCCTTGTAAATAAATTTGGATATGCTATACTCAAATTTAAACTACCTTTGTGTTGATGTTGTGTGTGTGTATGAGTGAAAACTTGTGAAATAATAAGAGTAGAAAACCATTCAAACTCAACTAAAGTATACCGTGTGAGTCAAAAAAAGTTTACACCTAGAAAATTGCTTAGTATTTTTGAAATCATCTATGAACAGTAAATTATTATACATCTTATGAAAGAGAGTTTTATCCCAAATCATTTGGTATCATTTTTGTGTGGTATGTGTTCACGCTTGGAGGAACAGGAGGCATTGTTTGCGAGAGTGCAAAAATCGACTTGCGCCAAAGTGATGCCTACATATGGGATTAGCGGAGTGAGAGAATGAATTGAATGTATCAAATGAAATGCATTGCATATGCTTTTTGCAGAAGCAAAGTCACACACACACACGCGCGCACACAATGTTCGTTGATATTCGATATTTGATATGTGTGGCATGATCAATTTTGTTAGGGATGCTATTTGGATCTGCAAAGACCGAATTAATACCAAAATCCCAATTGTTTTATTCAAACATCACATAAGCAACTTTGGCGCAAGTCGATTTTTGCACTCTCACAAACAATGCCGCCTGTTCATCCAAGCGTGAACACATACCACACAATATGATGCCAAATGATTTGGGATAAAACACTCTTTCAAAAGAGGTATAATAATTTACCGTTCATAGATGATTTTAAAAATAATTAGCAATTTTCTAGGTGTAAACTTTTGTTTGATTCACACTGTAGTATTTAACCTTAGAAGTTCAAACATTTCCTTTTTCTTTCTTCTTTATTTCTTTTCCACATGTCCCACCTGCCCCAAATAGGGGATCTTAAGGGGAGGGTTATAGACACTTAATATTCTGTCGCCACATTTTTCGACACAGCTCGCATGTTCTACCCCCCCCCCCCCCCTCCACTTCCATAATTTAAGAACCCTAGCTACGCCAATTGGGAAAGTCTCTAGGCTCCAAGATTCAATCGCATGCGTCGCTCTATAATGACGTTAAGATTGCAGCACTCGATCGCCGTTTCTTTTCTCCTCATTCATTGCGGTCTTCATCAGGTTGTTATTACTCCGGTACCTTCGTAAATTGGACTAACTGGCCGCGTTTAGAGGCGACCGAGGTTGGAAAAACAGCAAATAATGAAGGGAACAACTTCTATGACAATAGACCGTCTTCTTTTTTTTAAACGTCAACTGCAAAGTGATTTGCGAAGGAAAACAAATCACTGGGTATTATTCTAATGACGTTGTCATATATTATGTGTGGGTGTGTTTCATTTATGAAGTTCAAGTTCAAATTATGAAGTTCAAGTTCATATCAAAATAATATCAAAACAGGTGACTTATTTTGGTCATAAACACTAATTGTGTGAATAAAAACACGTATACATTCCTTCTCCCTTCCTCATCACCTCTCTCTCTCTCTCTCTCTCTCTATCTTTCTCTCTCCCTCTCTCCCTCTTTCTCTCTACTCTCTCTATCTCTCTCTCTCTCCCTCTTTCTCTCTACTCTCTCTATCTCTCTCTCTCTTCCTTCATTTCCCATATTCTCTCTCTCTCTCTCTCTCTCCCCTCTCTCTCTCTCTCTCCTTCTCTCTCCTCCCCACCATTCCCTCTTCCGTCTAAACTTGTATACTATCCCAGTCTTTCATTTTAAATGAAGCAATCCGATTCCTTTATAATTATTATGTTCGTACATTTTAAACCAGGAACAAAAAGTCAAAGCTAAAAGAGCTTTCTAATATTCCGACAGATGAGAGGCAACGCAAAGAGGTCTTCAGACGTTTCTAGTTATAAATCGGTGCAGAATATACATTCAAAGCTCGTTTTAGTTGCAGTCCTTTCGTGATAACAGTAGTAAATATTTGATTGAGCATATCCCGAGACAACAATTCCTTTCCAGACACATTAAAAATCAATCACAGTTTACATGCATATAGTTTACTTTATTCATATCCCTTGTTGATGGTTGTCTCATATTTTTGTGTTAACATGCGATGTTTTCACCTCTCTATCTGCACAAAGAATTCTCATTTATTTCTTCTCCCATCTCTTTCTTTTCCCTTTGTGCCCCCCCCCCCTCCACTGCCCTCCATCTTCCCTTTACCCTTCTCTTCTTACTACCCGCGCCCCCTCCCCTTCCCCTCCCCCTCCCAAATCGGGCGTAAATTTTCGTGAGGTGAGGTAGACTGATGTTGCTTTCCCGAAAATCCACCCTCGCGTTTCATGCAAGAGAAGCGAAGAAAAAGACACATTCATGGTTAAAGGGGAAGTCCACCCTGAAATTAAGTTAGTTTTAATAGGAGTAGAAAAATGAGAGAAACAAGTCAGTGAAAGTTTGAGCAAATTCCGATTAAAAATAAGGAAGTTAGGATTTTTGAAGTTGTGATCAATCAAACACAAATTGGCAACTCTATGACGTATCATGCGAGCTCAACTTCCATTTGCTCAGTACTAAAAAAATCTAAAATTTTCATTTTCCCTCAAGAAAAATTTCAACCATACATGCACCCTAAATATAATAATTGCAAATATGTTTCTATACTCCCCCTGCAAGGAACAAGTATATATTCCGTCATCAATAACGAAGAAAACATGATTTTATGGAATATTATGCACAAAGCAAATGAAGGAGAGCTCGTATAATAAGTCACAGAATTGCCAATTTGTATTTGATTGATCACAACTTCAATAATTCATAACTTTCTTATTTTCATTCAGAATTTGCTCAAACTTTAACTCACCTGATTTTCTTATTATTCTGCCTCTATCGAAACAAACTTATTTTGGGGGTGGACTTTCCCTTTAAATATTATACACATAATATTTCGCCTTTTAACTACTCTAGCGTAGATAATGTGATTTAAGTTTCAGGCATCTCGCTGCTCGAACGTAACGATATTTGAGTATTCCATTGCACGTCATCATAAAGATTCAAATTTTACAAGCGAGCGAATATTGACAATGTTCGGGCGCCTCATCAATTTCGCTACCCGAAATATGAAGTTGTGGTTGTCCGGATATCGGAACTTTAGGGTACTCGGGAGCGGCAGCTCTCACCCCCCCCCCCCCCCCCCCCCCCCCCCTCCCTGCCTAATAATAATGATATTATATTCAGCTTTTATTATAGCGCTTAATACATCTCGGACGTATCTAAGCCCTATTTCTCCCCTCCCCCTCCCTATATTTTAAGAATTTCTTTGTATTAAAAAACACTTCCCAATCTTACCCAAGTCGGAATTCATTAAACTTTCATTTGAAAAATCCTGAATTATTGATCCTGCATAAATCAAGAAGACATCGTGCATGGTCTAGATATATGGAATGCTCTCCTAGACACAATAAAATCATGTGAAACCCTAAATTCAATGCGTAGGAAGCATTTCTGTCAGAGTACATAGTTTGATCTTTCCCCAGTGCTGAAATTTATATTCAATAGTATTTCCGAATTTCTATAAACATTCATCCCCATATTTCATAACTCCCGTATATTTATATAAGTTTTCTGTGCCAGACATATTTACATCATCATAATTATTTTCATTTTCATTATCATCCTTATCACCAACATTATTACCATCATCATCATCATCATCATCACCAGTTTGTGTGGGGGTATCACCCCCTCCCCCACCCCACCCTGGGCTATCACGCTATCAAGCAAGCGTTTATAGTGATAGCCCTTCTTCTGCTACATTTATTTAAAGCCCCTCTGCACTAGTTTGGCCAGGAGGGATTAGACCCCCCCCCCCCTGCATGGTCACTGCCAGGTGGCCTATCTCATCAAATCAGCTCTCAATAAACATAAGAAAAAGGGGACCATGGGGGACCAATGGTCACCGATTATGCATTATCTGCTATATAGAGGGTGCAAGTAGCTATAAGTAGTGCAGTGGGGCAGTAATAAGTAGTGCAGTGAATGATTATTGGCAGTGTGTTTAATTAATCATGCAGTTATATTTTGTGTTAATATCAACATTTCTATTATTACTATATCGTATACACGTTAAAACATTGGGTATATTTTGTATATGTTGTATCGCTAAAGAGAAAGTTGGTTTGCATGTTGCAGAAGAAATTAAAATCAATTCAATTCAATAAACCGCCTTCCAATCATTATACGCAAACAGAGGGCAACCCGCGGGCCAGCGCGAGTGCTTGAGATGTGACATGAGTGAGACTTATCGATTTGGCGCGAAGGCTTAAATTTATTCTACACTGTGTACATTTCATTTTCCATGTGCTCAGGCCCATGTTGTCATGGATACGGAAATCATGTTCTGAGGGGATGCATTAGTGTAACTGAATACCTGGGCATGTGACGCACGTATAGGAGAATGTTTCCCCGGGAATGTCTGATGATTATACATGCACTGATATTTATTTATTCACATTCAGAACTGAAGCCCAATACAGAAATGCCATGGATGATTATTTTCCCTTTCTTTCGTTTAAAGCCCCTCTGCACTACTTTTGTCAGGAGGGATTAGACCTCCCTGCATGGTCAATGAGAGGTGGTTATCTCATCAAATCAGCTCTCAATTAACATAAGAAAAAGGGGATCATGGGGGACCAATGGTCACCAATTAGGTATTGTTTGCTATATACAGGCCCAAGTAGCTATAAGTAGTTCAGAGGGGCTTTAAATAGGCTCTCATATAAGGCCTTTATTCTTTTTTATTATGTTAATTCTTGATTGTATCTTGTCATTTCGAATTCTTCTGATGTATTTGAAATGAAATGAAATGAAATGAAATGAAATGAAATGAAATGAAAATAAATAATGTATGAATAAATTAAATGATTTCCTATTTACCCAGGGTA